AAGTCGATGCAGGAACTAAAAGAAAAATGAAGAATTGCCAGATTATACTTCGCCCTCTTGAGCGAGTGTGAGTCGGCCCGGACCAAGCCCTTTCACCAAAATTTTCCCGAAGAAGCGTGTAAGCCAAAAATTGTTCAGCAGAGCCAGGCTTATCCTAAGAAGAATGGAAATAGGAGTTTTTCGTTTGTTGCTGCCATAGACGACCCCGAAGTATGTGTGTTTTGCAACTCCGGGAACACAAGTAGGAAGTTGCACTGCTTTTGCTGCCCTAACAGTTCAGCAAAGATTCGATTTTGCAAAAAAGGCTCCTTTATGCATTAACTGCCTCCGAAAGGGCCACACGGTAAAAAGGTGCAAATCGAAAAGATGCAGGGTGTGTAAGTCCTCACACCACACATTGCTGCACATTTACTCGCCATCAAATCTCGCGTTGCCAGCTCCTCCTCAGCCCACGCTCTTGCAGAATACTCCATCCACTTCGCATGTTATGCATGCGACTGCATCGGATAAAGTTATTCTTGCCACAGCCATCGTGAGCGTCCAAACAAAAAGTGGCGAATTAGTTTTGGCTCGAGCGTTGCTCGATTCTGGTTCACAAGTAAATTTTGTGACCGATGAGCTCGCTCAGAGACTTCAGATTAAGAGAGAGGACGTGTGTTTGAGCTTGCGGGACTTTTGGAACTAATGCTCAAGCAACCAAGAAAATTCACACGATAGTTAAGTCGCGAGTGGGTAGCAGTCAATTGTCGTCCGAATTTTATATACTAAAAAATATTTCTGGTTATCATCCGGATCAAACGGTGAACACCAGCGGCTGGAGGGTGCCTGAAAATATTCAATTGGCAGATCCATTCTTCTTCAAGCCCCAAAAAATAGATATGCTTATAGGCGCAGACTCGTTCTTTGAACTATTGTCAGTCGGCCAGATAAAGCAAGGGCCTGAGTTTCCCATTTTGCAAAAAACAGTTCTCGGCTGGATAGTGTCAGGGAGATGTGCCTCAGAAAAATAAGAAATACGGAAAAGTTGGTACATCTCAGCTGCCAGGAAGAAGTGTTGAGTCAATCGACACAACCCTGCAGAAATTTTGGTCTGTGGAGGACTTGCCGCCCAAGGCCAAGGTCCATACTCCTGAGCAGCAACTTTGTGAGCAACACTTTGAGAAAAACACTCAAAGATTGTCGTCCGGGAGATTTTCGGTTTGTCTGCCGTTCAAATCTGACCCAAACACTCTTGGTTCATCATATGAAGTTGCGAAACGTAGATTTTTGTCGCTTGAAAGAAGATTATCCAAAAGATCCTTCTTTAAAAGATGTATCTGGAATTCATGGAAGAATATGAAGCGATGGGCCATATGTCTTCTACGAACAATAAAATCCCAGACAGTCCGCACTATTTCATTCCGCACCAATGCGTGCTGCGACCTCAAAGCACCTCGACAAAGTTGAGAGTGGTATTCGACGCCTCGAGCCGTACATCGACGCAGGTCGCGTTGAATGACATCTTGATGGTTGGCCCCACCATTCAAGAGGAGCTGTATTCGACCCTGCTTCGGTTCAGACTGCACAAGTTTGCGCTTGCAGCAGACGTAAAAAAGATGTATCGTCAAGTAATGGTTGACGAAGCTGACCGAAACTTTCAGCTCATAGTGTGGAGACGAGATCCACTCAGATCCACTCTAAAAATCTTCAAGCTGAACACCGTGACTTATGGTACTTCGCCAGCCCCCTATCTAGCGATTCGGTGTTTAAATCGGCTTGGAGAGATCGCGCAGGATTCGTGTCCAAAAGCCGCCAAGGTCATTCAGAATGACTTTTATGTCGACGATTTGTTGACTGGCGCCAGAAGCGTTGAGGACCTGCTAAGCCTTCGAGACGAAGTTTCTCAGGTATTGCAAGAGGCAGGATTTGAATTGGCAAAGTGGTTTTCTAACTGCCCAGAGTTATCCGCATCTGAAAGCGCTGTCATGCCGCTAACGGCAGACTCAGACGTAACTAAGACCCTTGGCGTGGTTTGGTTGCCGGGTAAAGATTACTTTCAATTTCGGTTGGATGACTCTTTCCTGGATCTTCGTGCGACAAAACGAAACATACTGTCGGTGACTGCCCGACTTTTCGATCCGCTTGGCCTGTTGTGCCCTCTAGTGACTAGGGCAAAAATGTTGTTGCAGGAACTGTGGCTTCGAAAGTTAGACTGGGACGAGTCGCTGCCGATGCAACTGCAGACATCTTGGGAAGCTTTTAAGGGAACGCTGTTGCAACTGCCCAAGATCGAGGTATCGCGATTCGTTCATACAGACGCCAAAGTCCCGGCAGAAATACATGGTTTCGCTGACGCTTCCATGCGAGCATATGGAGCGTGCATCTACGTTCGCACTAGTACCGCTGAAGGTTTAAAAGTATCTTTATTGACAGCAAAATCCAAAGTAGCTCCCCTCAAGACGAAAACTTTGCCCCGCTTGAGTTGTGCGCAGCTCACCTTGCGGATTTATAATGCTTTCCTCGAAGTACCTGCTGATGTCGTGTCGATGGAATTACGACGGCCCAGCGAACCAAATGGAAGCTGTGAGTTCCTCAACGTCACATCCCCGTGACACGATGTCCGCTGGGTTTACTTTCGTGGGGACATGTCGCCAAATTGCTTTTTCCGACCACTCTTGGATCTCTGCAACTCGGTTTGAGACGAAAACCGACAATGACGACGGATGCGTTTTTAATCCAATGCAGAGGATCTCCGAGTCCGTCCATAGGAACACCTTTGTGATCGGAAAATTAAACAAAGGGTTTTAACCAATATAAAGAACCCGCAAGAAGGTGAGCTGCGCACAACTCAAGGCGGGGCAAAGTTTTCGCGTTGTAATACAAAATAGTATTAAATTTTTCAACAAAGTTCATTATAAAAGCGCAAAGTGCGCAAACATTGATTTTAATGCTTCTCCCCAGGCATATTTGCTAAAACAATCCACAACAGTCAAAATATAAAAATATCCTCCGTTAAGCTTTGAATACTTTCCCATTTCCACTAAATCTGCTTGCCAGAGATCATTTATACCCTTTGTCACTACCCTTCGACGTTTAAAATTACGTCGACACGGAGCATGAATTTCTTTAACAATACCCAATTTATCACTCATATTTTTTTTTTGGTACTAGAACTTTCTTACTATTGGAGTTGCAGTACCTTCTATTTCAACTGTCTGTGATTTTAAAACTGATTTCGGTTGAGTAACATATTTATAAACATAGCTCTCAATACTATTAATCTTTGTTAACATATTGGATAGGATTTTATCAACATTATCAACCCTCCCATTATTAACTTGAACTAAATTTTCCAAAGAAGTTATTTTAGAAAGTCTTCGATTAAGGGATGTATTTATTTTCGTATTAAGGTCTTTCTTTAACGTCTCCAAGTTTTCATCGACATATTTTTTCGTCGTTGCATCCGAATAATCTATTGGGTTCCCACAATTTTTAATTCGTTTCTGTTGGGTATTCAGGTTTTCGTCGCCATCAATGTACAACCCCACAACAGTTTTAATATCCCTTTTTAAAATATCTGTGTGCTCTTTTTCGTCTGAAAAGTGACCAAACTTGTCGACAGACATTTTGTTTATAAGGTAATTTAAAGTTTGTGAACCTTATTTATTCAATTAATATATAATTTTAGCCTCTCGCAGTTCTTCTATTATAGACATGATCTCGTTATTGTGATTAGTGTTGCCAGCGGCCTTTGAAGCTATTAAAAGCTGCAATCTTTCAACTAATTCATTGACGTCATCCCAATAAATATAATTGGGTTTTGCTCTTTGTAGGGACATGTATCCAAATCCCTTTTTATTTGATTTTTTTTGTTTTGATTGAATTGGGGTGGATATAGCTGAAGGAGGTATATTTTCATTGCTCATGAACTTTTTAATAATGTTTGTATACTTGTATCCTCTAGTTCCTTTTATTCGCTTATTTGGATCAAAATCTATTCTATGTGCACTTGTCTCAGTAATGATATAGGTTTATTATGAAAAATCAGAGAATAAAGCCCAGGAGTCAAATCCCACGTGCTTCCACTTGATAATTGAATTTTATTATGACTTATATGTAATTCACTATTCCCCAAATTTAAGGATTTGGGGGTTGATGAACTTTTTCTAGGTCCATAAGCATTGTCCAGAACTTTATTTCTTGATAGACTGCTAATATTAAAATCATAGTCTGCATGAATTAGACTGCTAGCATCTGCTTCTTTTTCTAGCTGTGTTTCTAAAGGTGTTTCTAGCGGTGTTTCCGGCTCTGATCCCAATTCAATATGTGACTGTGAAAAAAATTTATCATCTGAGTCACTAGTAACATCATCATTATAAATTTTTGTTTCTTCATTTCGGCTATTATTATCATCATAATCGTAATCATGATCATCATCGTCATCATACCTTAATTGATGTTTCTTAAGCTTTTTACTGGGGGTTTCATTTTTAAATATTTCACTTTTTTGCTTTAGAACCGTTGATTTATCTTCGTTTGTATTCATAAACTTTCGTTTTTTATTTTCACTAACTAGTTCGTTTAAGGGATCTGTTATTGGCTTAAAAGTTTCTTCCAACTCGTAAGCATTTTGTGATTTAAAATGTTTTAGATCATTAAACTTTTTCTTTAATATATTTCTCGTTTTAGTAAGCTGACTTAAAATAAATTGACTCATTTTGGGTACTTTCAAAACTTTCACCACCGTCAGCACAAAAGATGTAATACCAGTTTATGAACTATACTTTACAGGGTTACATTTCATACTAATGAAAGTTATAAAATATATATATTATTTATATGATTTTATTTTTTGGCTGAAAAAGAATCATTTTACATTGTTTAAATTTCCTCTTCAAATAAAAGAATTTAATGTGGGTGTGTGTGTGTGTGCATGTTTTATTGAATATAATAAATGATTATGTACAAATGTTATAAATATTACAAAGTGATAAGTGGATTAAACAATTGTATTTAACTCTAGTTGCAGGGAATCATTGCTTCTTTTTATAACTCGATATTCCTTGTCCTTGAGCAACTTCAGATGACCATCTTTCATAGTGTTATATCTCTTTGGTAGATATAGAATATATTTATCCAGTTCCAAGGCAATGGAGTCCCCATAAACAGTTTTCTTCCTCTGCGCATTGATAATTGGGTAGCTGACGTTTATACCCATCTTGTTTTGTGATAGCAAGGGCTTCAATGCTCGCGTGTTGAACTCCTTTAAAACCCCGCCTCGAAGAATTTCCTCCTCCATAATGGTGTCCAGCTCACTTTCTGATGGAATTGGTTGATTCATCATGTTGTTGTTGGTTTGAAGTTTGTCCTCGAAGAAGGTGGTTTAAATGAGAAGCAAGCTGATCGACTTGACAAGTTAATGTTAAAGTTCTGACTGTAAAGACTAAACGATTTCCGAGCTCATTTTATACCAGTTCTCAGACCGAGATTTCCATAGCAACAGGTTGTTGTTTTTCCACCCTTGTTGTTTTCCACCCTTGATGTTTAAAAGTCGTTAAATCAGTTACTTTATGCAACAGGCTGTTGTTTTTCCACCCTTGTTGTTTAAAAGTCGTTAAATCAGTTACTTTATTTGAATGAAAGCAGGAATTCAATGCACAGGTGTCCACAATTGTATGTTCCAAAACGTTGTACCTGTTCATAGTTATATTTGATTTTATCCCCTAAGTATTTCACAACTTCTTTTGGTGGTTGTAAATTTCCAAAACTATCAAAATAGAATATGCTGTTTTTGTTTTTGTGGTAAGCTACCCAATGTGTACCCCTTGATTTCGAGTCACCCAAGTTAATCACTCCACTCTCATTATTTTTAGGTGTTTTAGGGAGAGAGTCTCTCATAAACACTCCCCTAAAATGCGGTATATTTCTTTGAGCAAATTCCATTATATCTATATTTGATAATGCTCTTTTGGGTAGCTGACCAATTAGTTTTTTTGTTTCTTCATTCTCCCACCACGACTGTTGTATGGTTTTAGGTATAAACCGTAACCATTTTTATGGGGTTTTAAGTATAGACCTTCACCCACGGAAACTTCTTCCATCTTTCGGTTGTGTCTTTTATTTTCTTCTAGCTGTTGCTTAGCAATTTTTGCGTTTGTTATTAATTTTGCTACACTAGAAGTTCCTGAAGCTAAACTACCTATAGCACTTAATGCAGTTAAGATGGGTACCAGTGGTAAAAAACCCCCCATTTTGGGAACATTTATTATTCGAGGAACTTTAACGTTTTTCTTAGATCCGATTGAATTATGTATTGCTTTACGTGCAATTTTAATTGCATTAACCACATCCAGGGGTTTTCGTTTTTTCAATTCCCGACTCGCTTCTCTTACAACAGATGATAGTCTATTTATTTTCATCCTCCTACGCTTCCTCTTCTTCTGTTTTTTCTTATTTCGCTTCCGAACACCCATTCCAAAATGTTTCTTTGCTTTCATAATATTAGTTACAAAATATGCAAAATATGCCTTCGCCTTTACTCGCTCCCAAGCCTTGTTAATTAATTCAGAATCTGCCTTATGTCGATTGCTTAGATCGTTGTTTTGTGAATAGGCAATATCGTGAACCTTGCAAGCTTCATCCAACTGATTAATTCCGTGATCTCCACGCTGTAATCGCTCTGCAAGCTTTGTACCGGGTCCACAATAGTTATATCCAGGAATGTGAAACTCAATCGGAAGAGAATCTATTAACTTATTAATAAGACCACTTCCACGTTTACGGTGTAAATAATGACTGATGTGATTATAAAAACGTTTCCCCATTATATATTGTCTTTATTCATTGAAGATTTATCACGGAATAAACATATTTATAATAGGATGCGATTAATAAAGCAAAAAAATAACATTATTGTTCGTAACATTGAGAACGTGAATAATGTTAAACAACCACCACGTCACAGTGAATTATTACCAAACACAATTAGAGCTCTTGTGGTTGGTCCATCCAACTGCGGGAAAACTAATGTAATGATAAGTCTTATTGAGAGTCCAAATGGCTTGAGATTTGAAAATATATACGTGTTTTCAAAGAGTCTATACCAACCGAAATATGATTACTTGGAAAAGCTATTTAAACCGATTAAAGGTATGGGATATCATACATTCTCTCAGAACGAAACTGTTTTACCACCCACCGAAGCAAAAAATAATTCAATCATGATTTTTGACGATGTGGCTTGTGAGAAACAAGATAATATTCGATCATATTTCTGTATGGGTCGTCACAAAAATATTGATTCTTTTTATTTATGTCAAACATATACACGGATACCAAAACATCTTATACGGGACAATGCAAATGTAATTATTATGTTTAAACAGGATGATTTAAATATGCGATACATATTTCGGGATCATATCATCCCTGACGAGGATAAATATGGATTTTTATTTATAAGTAAGGATGACAATATTGATAAGGGACGATATAGAAAAGGATTTGACCAATTTATTCTTCTTTAATTTTAATATAAGATTGGGGCGGGGTTGTATGCACCCAGTTGAACAACAGATTTCAAAATGGTTAGATCATTGACTCTATCAGTGAA